GGCATCTCGCGGATCACACGATCGCGGGAACTGTCTTCAACGATGACACTTTTGCGCTGTACAATGCTCACCACTCCTGCCCTTACGACCCCTGCCCCCTGCCCTTTACGCCCCCATCGATGGATTTCGCACGATGTTGCAGTACCCAATAAGGCCAGCTGTTCAACTGATTATGAAACGTTTTTCAAGACATAAAAAGTCAAGAAGAAAAACTAAAACAAGAATTTAAGCGAAACTCTCGCCCTCAATATCTATTGAGTCTCGATACGTTTGGCGTTGGAGAAACTGATTAAGACCAACGGGCGCAGTAATGAACATACCTTCAATAGCCTACTGTTTCCCAAAAGTGTAGCGAGATGTCGATGAAGCAGTTTTCTCTCCAGAGCAAGACGAACAAATGCACGCGCATATCCAATATCCGTTTTGATTTCCGTCATTCGTAAAACATTCCTAACGTAGGAAAAACTCGAGAACCAATCTGTGTACTTACAACAATGCGAAACGAACTTCAAATCATAAGCAACGTGTGTCGGAAGGGGAGCTAACACCACACGAGTGCCCATCTCAGGACTACGCGGTCGACTTTGAGAGCGTCTCCGAGGAGAACCAGTAATCTCAGGATTGGCTCCTATCTCACTGTTCCAACTCGAGTTTGTGAAGTCTAAATGTACAAAGAAGTCGATAGACTGCAAAACTGGCGGAACACAAACAAAAGCAGCAATATGGCAAAATGCACAATTCACTCAGTTAGAAAGCCAACGCGATGCATATTTCAAACAATCTGTTAGTATTCAACACACTCGCACTAATTAAGGACATCATCGAAACTGAATTCAAGCCGAAAAGCATGCAATGAACAGAAAAGTGTGTCAGTCGTGCGAAGGGCCACAAGCTTCTTCTGCTAAGCTGCGTGATGTGTGAAGAACACTCGAGAAAAGTGAAGTAAAACCCTGTTATCAACAGCATGCAACACCTATTAAACCCACCGCCGACGGAACTTGATTTCTTCATCATCGATTGTGGATATGCTGGTGGCTTTGCTGGTGGCTTTTGTGTGAAAGCTGTGGAAAGCGCACCTCTAGGCTCTTCTTTTGGTGCATTAGCCAACTTGTCAGCGAGAAAATTGGCGGCACGTAAGATCGAACGCGACCACGCTGGTGCATTCTCGTCATCACCTTTGCCGAGCTCGCGTTGAATAGACTCCACGATCTCCGATAAAGCTCCCGCAAAGTCATTTTCATTCGTCGGTTGCAGTATCACCGGTGCAGGTACCTCGCAATATGGTAATGACGGTGTTCTCCTCACTGCACCTCGTGGGCCGTCGCCTAGTACAAACACTACTTCCACCACAATCACAATCGTATAACAATAAGCAGAAGATCAAATCTAACCAAGCAGAAGTTAAAATCGAACCAAAATACATGACTTTTTCGAAACTCTTCTGTGAGCTTATTAGAGTTTTCAAAATAGGTCCGCGTTTAGTAAAGTCTCTTTTTCAAAATTGTATATCGTATATATGTATATAATTATGTCTTTTTCTTTTTGGAACCATCGTTGTCCTGTTTTCAAGAGTCCATATTACGCTGATTCCGAACAAAAAAGTCCAAAGATTTCAGGACAGAATCAAGTGTAGGGGTAGTGAACTCGAGAGCTTCAATCCCATCATCCGCCCCAGGAAGTTGGGCTAAAGCTTCAGAAAAGGCCAATTTCCGCTCAGACTTACCAACAGCTTCGACGGAACAGATACGTATATAAAGAGTTGGTTCGGTATTCTGGTCAACTAAATATGAAGCACGAGCTTTGCGCCTCCCAAAAATCACCCACTTGAATTAAAAAAACCACTAATGTGTACCTCGAAATGCAGGTCGCGGCATTGAAATGTGATGTAGCCAATGTGTCGATGAATGCAATTTCTTCAGGGAAAAAATCTTCTCATCTTATTTCATAGGGAAGGAAGAAGGTCTAGATTATGTAGCAACGATCTCCCTCCACCCCTCCCCCTACGATTTAAGCACCTTCAAGCACTAAAAGATTTTCGATACAGTCATGATCATTCAAAATCACGCGATGGCGTCAATCTGACTCTGCCAGCGTTCAGAAAATCTTACGAGCAGAACGCTTCATTCAAGGCAGACGCATTTCATTGCACCAATCTATTCGGTCAGCCGAATGAAGCGCTTTGTTTTTGAGCAAACACTCTATAGCAGCAAAATAAAGACAATTTCCACTATATCGCGTCTACGCATACAAGAGGCATACTTCGCGCTGGATCAGAATCTAAAGTAGTGCTCAGACAACGGAGTGCTGAATAATGCTTGCAATGGTGAAGATATCTGAGGGTGTAGCAGCAACCTCAAGGTTCCTTTTTGGTTGTGGGGATAGCTGCGACAGCGTCATGGTCAAGGGTGCGCAGATAGAGAAGCATTCGACGACAGCAGGTTGGCCTTCGAAAAAAGATTGTTTGATCAGTCTCCAATGAATTTCTTTAAGGGATAGCCTTGTATGCTTCGACAAAGCTTCGTTCTTATCTGACCAGCCTGACAGCCATTTAGCATTCCTTGCTGCGTTCCTGGAAACACAGGTTCTTTGCTACCTAAACGATATGCGCGATTACGCTAATCAAGGCGTTGCAGATGTTTACCTCATTGATTGATGCGAAGATTCTCTCGCAATGGGAAGCTCCTGATGAGAATCTTGTTCTTTTTGATTCTCGTATAGCAGCTATGCGTGAGAAACTTGGACTTTCTATGGTTCGTACGCCTACGTACGAGTCGACGCCTCCATTTGCTCACACAGGTAATAAACTGTCTTTTTGATTGCAATATCTACTTAACATTAAGCGGTACTTCAGAGGAGTTGATCTCCAAACGGGAGGAGACGCTGGACTACGTAGTGCCAGGTCCTCATGAACTGGCAGGAGCTGTACCTATGAGATATGACGGTGTTTGGCCAGAACAGATCAACACGGCTTTACTCGAAGGCGCCATGGGACTCAGTCCAGCGCCTAGCCCGTGGAAACAGCGTTATCCTCGGTTGAGGCCCAAACAACAAGAGGTATGAATGTAAACAGAGGATTCCTGAGCCTTCATTGCATTACAAGTCTTCTTTGTGACTAATGAAACGGAACTTTTCCAAATTCGTTTATCTCATTGACAACATTACGGGCCTTGAGCCCTTCTTCAGTTTCGGTTCCTTACGGGAAGCAGGGTATGGGTTGGAGCGCTACTGGACCATGCTACCCAGCTGTCCTTTGTAAAGGGAATCCTTTCTTATTTCGCTCCCTTTCTATAGGAACGGACAGCTGGGGCGTACACTCTCGGACACGATCCAGTCCAGGCCCTCCTTACCGTTGGAAGCTGACCTGAAAGAGGGCTTAAGGTCCTGTTGTCGTCAAGGGGCTCAAGGCCCGTATTGTCGTCAATGTGCTAAACAGCTTGGGATAGTTTTATTCTATCGATTACGAAGAAAAGGTATGCATATTTACATACTATTGGGGTTACCAATTACTCATAACTGGAGTCTTTCATTGTTTATGCAGTGACGCATTCCTAATAGAACTATCTTACAGGCAGCGGGAGCAACTGGACGCCCAAGTAGCACATATGGTGGGGCTGGCTTAGTCGGCGATTCACCGGCTTTGGTGGCCCAACAACAGCTAAAGTTCGTGGACCAGTTGTTGCGTGAAACGAAAGGTACGTGTTCTCCTCTTGATTTCGAAGGTCTTTTCAATCAAACAAGTTTGCAGGGAAGACAAAGCGCATGCTCGTCGACAAAATGGGAAAGGAAGCCGTGCAGCTGGGTCACCTAGATGCTGGTATAACAGGTGTTGAGGAAAATACCCTAGTTGCATCGTTCTGTGACCTACTGGAGAGGATTTGGGCACACGGCTTGGTGAAGAAACAGGTGATCTTGGTTTCACTTCGTTTGTTCTTTTCTTGCAGCACATGTTAAAAAGTGCTTTTACTTACCTTCTCATTGAATATTTCAGGGAAAAGTCTTCGCTCTGGAGTTTTGTTCTACAACATCAAGATCTGGAGAAGGCCTGTCTGTCAACACGAACCATGTCATCTTCCATGCTTACTCCAGGTACTTTTTTATCGAGTTTCGTATATTTTTGGTGAATGCTATGAATGGATGTGAGACTGATTGGTGGTTATACCATTAAGTTTCTTCTTCCAAATGTTGTACTTTCTGTTATGATGTAATATCCTTCGTGCACTTCTCAAAGTTCTTTATTTTGCTCCAGCTCTAGCATGGCTGGTGTTCAGGAAGCGTCTAGAACGTAAGGTTTTCAAAGTTACGCATAGTGTGCGAAGGTTGTAAAAAGGAGCTGACTATTGGCTGATTCAACGTGATTAGTGTGCTTAGCGATTCAGTATGTGGTGTGCGGTGTACTTTTGATGTTGTGTTCACATTTACGCTTCAATGGCATACTTCGCACTACGCGGTACTTCAGTAACAGCTGTGTAAGTGGGCTGGTTTCTTCCTTCAAGGGCAAAAAACTGACACAGAAGCCCAAAATACTGTAATTGCTGGGCGTGCAGTGCCTGTGACAGTCGGTAATTGAAATGAGTGACGAACAGTCAGCTTATGCGATTGATTATGTACATGGTAACATCAGGTTAGGCGAAAAGTCCTGTCACACTCCGAACAAAGAACAAGTGATCACAGTTTGCTAATGCCTACATAGCGTCATTTGCTTTTCATTTTGAAACTGCTATAAATGCCTCACAGTGTGGTATGAATGCCTTTCAGTGCGTTGATATTTCGCTCTGATAGCGCGGTCTGCGCCGGCAATCACTGGGGCTGGTCACGCACGGTTGACGAAGTTAGCAAAGCCCAACATTGGGATGAACACACACGTGCGCGATCGGCTTACTGATCGCTGGCGCTGATTGCGCGATCGGAAATGTCAAATCGCGGAGTGTAAAAGCACTCCATAATGATATCGTATAGGGCGCTGAGCTTTTGAAAAACGGTTTTTTGCATGTTACAGGGGTGTTCATTTAGGCTGCACAGTAGATAGTGCCCAGGTAGTTGTGGCTATTTCGCTGCTCTAATTCCAGAAAGCAGTGAGGAGATTTGCTTGCGAATAGCGAAGCCACTTTGACGAACACGACACCATTTGTTACATAGATTACTGGTAATATGAAAGTGCTATTGCCCCTCAGAATAAGCCTCGCAGCCTTCAAGAAATCTGAAGAAATTCAGCATTCTGTACAACCCTTCCCCGTAACTTCATTATCTATACCACTATGGAAATAACCGGTTTTGACACAATTAAAATATTTGAAGGTATCTATGTTGGATGCCACAATTCTCGTCCAGCGGCCAGGCTCCCGAGAACTTCCTATATTTGATGATTCGCTCGCGTCGATGTTTCAGGTTGGTACTGCTGGAATATCCTGTTTTCTTTCATTTTCAAACGCTGACAAGTTGTTCTTTCAGTACATCTCGGTGGAGAAGTTTTTGCGGTTGTTCGCTTGTTTTTTACTGGAGCACCAGATCCTGTTGTGTTCAAAAGGTAAGCATCGGCTAGTACAAACACTCCTCGTCTATAGCACAATTTAGAAGCAATGGGCCGGTTTGCTGGGGGCAGGTGGTCTTGTCAGTGTCATTGGTGGAAGGGCTGAGTGGGATGTGGCCAAACGTCCTCACACAGCACTTTCACCAATGACGTTGGCAACAATCGCCAGCCTCCAGGAATGTCCCCCTGCCTTTGAGCTTACAATTATGTTTTGCAAATTCAGAGTATTCTCGCTTGATGTGCGTCAGTGAATCACTGTGTGCACTGGCTTTTCCGTTCCGATGGCAGATGGTTTACGTGCCTATACTGCCTTACTCACAACTGAAGTTCGTCGAAGCACCTGTAAGCTTTCTTCGAGTTACTTCTTCCTCTTGTAGTCCAGCGTCCTCATTTGCTAGTTTATTGTTTTTTTGGGCGCACTTCGGCTCGGTAGGGGCATTTTGCTGATTCCCATCAATCACTGCCGATCCCTTCCATAGGGTAGGAAAATCCTGTAAAGCTGTGGAAGTTATGCCTAGCATGAATTTGTTAAAATTTAACAAGATCTTACCAAGTTCATATCTGTAAGATCGTGTAATTTAGCTGGAACTTGCAAAAGAAACTGAAGAAAGTGCAAAATGCCCCCCCCCCCCCTCGCCGGCTCGGCCGAACAGCGCCATTTTTTTTGCTTATTCATGCATCTTGAATGTTTTGATGGCTAAATTGCGAACAGAAGCATTATTAAATTTTCTTTCAAGGTACCGTACGTAATGGGTTGGTGTTATGAGGAGAGCGTTCCGGAGTTTCTCTTTCAATCCAATGTGTGTGTGCTTGACATCGACACGGGACGCACCGAATTTCCCGAGGACCTTCCCTCATTTCCTGGAGCGAAGCAGTTGTGTCAAGAAATTAAGGCAGCTATAGAAAGGTGAATTGGAGTGCTAGTACTGTTGACACCAAAGAAAAAAATACAGCTGGTTTGTAGGTACTCGACGTGGGATGATATGTCGAAATCAGTTATTAGCGGCACAACACCGTCTGGTTCTCCGGCAGTGACGAATCGTAGTAGAAACATTCGTCGAACCGAGGAATGGTCAGCGAAACGAATGAGCCGCTCATTCGACAGGGACGATGCCATAGATGATATTATTAGTGGGTATCCTTCACTCTAGACTCGATATGATTCTCAGTTCAAAGCCCAGGCACCTTGTGTTTCATTTCTTTGCTTCATTTAGAATTTAAAGGTGAGTCTGTCCTCCTTTCACCGCGTCCGTCTCGAGCTGATCTGACACCATTGCCTTTGGAAGGTGTACTGAAGAACAATTCTACTGTTGCGAGGTAAATTCAGAAGCAGAAGTTTCTACCAAGCATAGCAGCGATAACCTATTTATGACATTTAGAGTAGCAGAGATTGCTCGGCGTGCTGGTGTCCTTATCGATGTCCAGGACTTGGAGCAGGAGTTGTCGTGCAAAGATCAATATGCGAATTCTCCTGTTTGTAAACAGTATTTCCAGGTTGGCAACTGATTTCTGCAGCTTTCTTGGATTATTGTTTATTAGTTTGGTCTCTGATTGGCCAGTTTCAGAATGCTCGACTCAATAACGCTATTCGTGAATGCGTGTTGAATCGGATCGTGTGTATGCTGTATTCTTATGAACACTTTGTCGTTGGTGGTCAAGGGTGCGCAGATAGAGAAGCATTCGACGACAGCAGGTTGGCCTTCGAAAAAAGATTGTTTGATCAGTCTCCAATGAATTTCTTTAAGGGATAGCCTTGTATGCTTCGACAAAGCTTCGTTCTTATCTGACCAGCCTGACAGCCATTTAGCATTCCTTGCTGCGTTCCTGGAAACACAGGTTCTTTGCTACCTAAACGATATGCGCGATTACGCTAATCAAGGCGTTGCAGATGTTTACCTCATTGATTGATGCAAAGATTCTCTCGCAATGGGAAGCTCCTGATGAGAATCTTGTTCTTTTTGATTCTCGTATAGCAGCTATGCGTGAGAAACTTGGACTTTCTATGGTTCGTACGCCTACGTACGAGTCGACGCCTCCATTTGCTCACACAGGTAATAAACTGTCTTTTTGATTGCAATATCTACTTAACATTAAGCGGTACTTCAGAGGAGTTGATCTCCAAACGGGAGGAGACGCTGGACTACGTAGTGCCAGGTCCTCATGAACTGGCAGGAGCTGTACCTATGAGATATGACGGTGTTTGGCCAGAACAGATCAACACGGCTTTACTCGAAGGCGCCATGGGACTCAGTCCAGCGCCTAGCCCGTGGAAACAGCGTTATCCTCGGTTGAGGCCCAAACAACAAGAGGTATGAATGTAACATCAGAGGATTCCTGAGCTTCATTGCATTACAAGTCTTCTTTGTGACTAATGAAACGGAACTTTTCCAAATCGTTTATCTCATTGACAACATTACGGGCCTTGAGCCCTTCTTCAGGTCGGTTCCTTACGGGAAGCAGGGTATGGGTTGGAGCGCTACTGGACCATGCTACCCAGCTGTCCTTTGTAAAGGGAATCCTTTCTTATTTCGCTCCCTTTCTATAGGAACGGACAGCTGGGGCGTACACTCTCGGACACGATCCAGTCCAGGCCCTCCTTACCGTTGGAAGCTGACCTGAAAGAGGGCTTAAGGTCCTGTTGTCGTCAAGGGGCTCAAGGCCCGTATTGTCGTCAATGTGCTAAACAGCTTGGGATAGTTTTATTCTATCGATTACGAAGAAAAGGTATGCATATTTACATACTATTGGGGTTACCAATTACTCATAACTGGAGTCTTTCATTGTTTATGCAGTGACGCATTCCTAATAGAACTATCTTACAGGCAGCGGGAGCAACTGGACGCCCAAGTAGCACATATGGTGGGGCTGGCTTAGTCGGCGATTCACCGGCTTTGGTGGCCCAACAACAGCTAAAGTTCGTGGACCAGTTGTTGCGTGAAACGAAAGGTACGTGTTCGCCTCTTGATTTCCGAAGGTCTTTTCAATCAAACAAGTTTGCAGGGAAGACAAAGCGCATGCTCGTCGACAAAATGGGAAAGGAAGCCGTGCAGCTGGGTCACCTAGATGCTGGTATAACAGGTGTTGAGGAAAATACCCTAGTTGCATCGTTCTGTGACCTACTGGAGAGGATTTGGGCACACGGCTTGGTGAAGAAACAGGTGATCTTGGTTTCACTTCGTTTGTTCTTTTCTTGCAGCACGTGTTAAAAAGTGCTTTTACTTACCTTTCTCACTGAATATTTCAGGGAAAATCTTCGCTCTGGAGTTTTGTTCTACAACATCAAGATCTGGAGAAGGCCTGTCTGTCAACACGAACCATGTCATCTTCCATGCTTACTCCAGGTACTTTTTTATCGAGTTTCGTATATTTTTGGTGAATGCTATGAATGGATGTGAGACTGATTGGTGGTTATACCATTAAGTTTCTTCTTCCAAATGTTGTACTTTCTGTTATGATGTAATATCCTTCGTGCACTTCTCAAAGTTCTTTATTTTGCTCCAGCTCTAGCATGGCTGGTGTTCAGGAAGCGTCTAGAACGTAAGGTTTTCAAAGTTACGCATAGTGTGCGAAGGTTGTAAAAAGGAGCTGACTATTGGCTGATTCAACGTGATTAGTGTGCTTAGCGATTCAGTATGTGGTGTGCGGTGTACTTTTGATGTTGTGTTCACATTTACGCTTCAATGGCATACTTCGCACTACGCGGTACTTCAGTAACAGCTGTGTAAGTGGGCTGGTTTCTTCCTTCAAGGGCAAAAAACTGACACAGAAGCCCAAAATACTGTAATTGCTGGGCGTGCAGTGCCTGTGACAGTCGGTAATTGAAATGAGTGACGAACAGTCAGCTTATGCGATGCGATTGATTATGTACATGGTAAGCATCAGGTTAGGCGAAAAGTCCTGTCACACTCCGAACAAAGAACAAGTGATCACAGTTTGTAATTGCCGACGCTTTCGCAGCTATCCCCACAACCAAAAAGGAACCTTGAGGTTGCTGCTACACCCTCAGATATCTTCACCATTGCAAGCATTATTCAGCACTCCGTTGTCTGAGCACTACTTTAGATTCTGATCCAGCGCGAAGTATGCCTTTGTATGCGTAGACGCGATATAGTGGAAATTGTCTTTATTTTGCTGCTGTAGAGTGGTTTTCTCAAAAACAAAGCGCTTCATTCGGTGACCGAATAGATTGGTGCAATGAAATGCGTCTGCCTTGAATGAAGCGTTCTGCTCGTAAGATTTTCTGAACGCTGGCAGAGTCAGATTGACGCCATCGCATCTGCCTTTTTGACTGATTTTGAATGATCATGACTGTATCGAAAATCTTTTAGTGCTTGAGGTGCTTAAATCGTAGGGGGAGGGGTGAGGGAGATCGTTGCTACATAATCTAGACCTTCTTCCTTCCCTATGAAATAAGATGAGAAGATTTTTTCCCTGAAGAAATTGCATTCATCACACATTGGCTACATCACATTTCAGTGCCGCGACCTGCATTTCGAGGTACACATTAGTGGTTTTTTTAATTCAAGTGGGTGATTTTTGGGAGGCGCAAAGCTCGTGCTTCATATTTAGTTGACCAGAATACCGAAGCAACTCTTTATATCCGTATCTGTATCCGATCCGAGGCTGTCACCGAGTCTGAGCGGAAGTGTGCCCTTTTCTGAAGCTTTAGCCCAACTTCCTGGGGAGGGGTATGGGATTGAAGCTCTCGAGCCCACTACCCCTACACTTGATTCTGTCCTGAAATCTTTTAACTTTTTTTTGCGGAATCAGCGTAATATGGACTCTCGAAAATAGGACAACGATGGTTTCGAGAAAGAAAAAACATACAATTTCGAAGAAGAGACTTTACTAAACGCGGACCTATTTTAAACACTCTAATAGGGTCACAGAAGAGTTTCAAAAAAGTCATTTATTTTTGGTCCGATTTGAACTTCTGCTTGGTTCGATTTGATCTTCTGCGTATTGTATACGAATTGTGATTGTGGTGGAAGTAGTGTTTGTACTAGGCGACGGCCCACGAGGTGCAGTGAGGAGAACACCGTCATTACCATATTGCGAGGTACCTGCACCGGTGATACTGCAACCGACGAATGAAAATGACTTTGCGGGAGCTTTATCGGAGATCGTGGAGTCTATTCAACGCGAGCTCGGCAAAGGTGATGACGAGAATGCACCAGCGTGGTCGCGTTCGATCTTACGTGCCGCCAATTTTCTCGCTGACAAGTTGGCCAATGCACCAAAAGAAGAGCCTAGAGGTGCGCTTTCCACAGCTTTCACACAAAAGCCACCAGCAAAGCCACCAGCATATCCACAATCGATGATGAAGAAATCAAGTTCCGTCGGCGGTGGGTTTAATAGGTGTTGCATGCTGTTGATAACAGGGTTTTACTTCACTTTTCTCGAGTGTTCTTCACACATCACTCAGCTTAGCAGAAGAAGCTTGTGGCCCTTCGCACGACTGACACACTTTTCTGTTCATTGCATGCTTTTCGGCTTGAATTCAGTTTCGATGATGTCCTTAATTAGTGCGAGTGTGTTGAATACTAACAGATTGTTTGAAATATGCATCGCGTTGGCTTTCTAACTGAGTGAATTGTGCATTTTGCCATATTGCTGCTTTTGTTTGTGTTCCGCCAGTTTTGCAGTCTATCGAGTTCTTTGTACATTTAGACTTCACAAACTCGAGTTGGAACAGTGAGATAGGAGCCAATCCTGAGATTACTGGTTCTCCTCGGAGACGCTCTCAAAGTCGACCGCGTAGTCCTGAGATGGGCACTCGTGTGGTGTTAGCTCCCCTTCCGACACACGTTGCTTATGATTTGAAGTTCGTTTCGCATTGTTGTAAGTACACAGATTGGTTCTCGAGTTTTTCCTACGTTAGGAATGTTTTACGAATGACGGAAATCAAAACGGATATTGGATATGCGCGTGCATTTGTTCGTCTTGCTCTGGAGAGAAAACTGCTTCATCGACATCTCGCTACACTTTTGGGAAACAGTAGGCTATTAAGGTATGTTCATTACTGCGCCCGTTGGTCTTAATCAGTTTCTCCAACGCCAAACGTATCGAGACTCAATAGATATTGAGGGCGAGAGTTTCGCTTAAATTCTTGTTTTAGTTTTTCTTCTTGACTTTTTATGTCTTGAAAAACGTTTGCATAATCAGTTGAACAGCTGGCCTTATTGGGTACTGCAACATCGTGCGAAATCCATCGATGGGGGCGTAAAGGGCAGGGGGCAGGGGTCGTAAGGGCAGGAGTGGTGAGCATTGTACAGCGCAAAAGTGTCATCGTTGAAGACAGTTCCCGCGATCGTGTGATCCGCGAGATGCCTCCAGTGCATTCGGCATCGCCCGCATTCGCAAAGGATGTACCACTTTTGTCACTCAAAACGGCGAGATAAAGAAGCTAGAGACGCGTGATTATTGCAACCATTGCAACCACGATTACTTTCACTCTGCAAGACAACGGCTTACAAGCTAAATACTGCAAGCTCATAGCGTTGGGCGCCAGCCTCACTGCGAAGAGAATCTCTGTCCAAAGTGCTCTCAATTTTTTTTTCGCTTCTCTCTCTCTCCCTCTGCATTGGGGAGTTACTTATGGACTACTGGTTCATGACTGAGCACCCGTAACACTTGTCATGGAATTGTCTAAGTTTTGTGGAGTGGAAGCGATGCACATGAAGGCTCTTTCAGGTTGGTTATCAGAATAAGAGATCTCTTCGCAACGGTCTCACTAGAGTTAAACCAATCAATCAATCAAGCCCACTGAACGCCCATCGGTGACAGGGCGCGCTTGAGCAGCCGCTTCACGTAGCCATATGGCATATTGAATGGGGGAGCGAGACACGAGGATCATCAAACTACCCCAGTTCTTCGATCTTCGACATTAGAGCAGCTTCAACACCAGGCATAGGTGTTCACAATGAGCGGAATCTTATGCCTTGATACTGCCACGTTCGTTCCTTGAACCTGCCTTCGCAATGTGGATTCAAGGAACGAGCATAGCAGCATTGAAGCATGAGATCTCCGCCTGTTTTGGTGAACTGTATCGGGCACTGAGCTGATCCAGTGTCCTGAGGTGTTAGCCGTGCAATTACACGCGCTGAAAGTGATGCAGATTATGCCACCTTGAAGCCGGAGAGGACCCACTTCTCGTTAGTAGTACGGTGTATCCTTAAAAAGTTGTATGCGGAACCGGCGCAGTTCGGCGACGGGGGAGGGGGGGGGCATTTTGCGCTTTGCTACTTCCCATCGACGTGTCGGCCTATCTAGACAGCCTCTTCTCGTGACAGGTTTTATCATGATGGCTTGACGATCTTGCTCCAGCTTCACAAGAGTTCACAGGTTTCGCCAGAGTGAACTCGTAAGACCGGAACTAGGGAAGCAGTTATAGTACAAAATGCCCCCTCCCCAGTTGCCTAACTGCGCCCGCGGAACCTCAAAATTTGCGTCTACCGAAACGCCACCTTATATAAAGATAGGTAAATTTGTCGCGTGGTCCTACAATGTTCTTAATATTAAGAAGTCGTCCGCGGACTATATCTTAAGCCTGGTTTCTGTTTGTGTTTTTGTTTTGTAATTTCCCCACTAAAAATCCATTAGGTGACATATAAGCAACCAGTGATTGTTCGAAAGAAACTATTGGGATGGACACATAAATTATCTACATTGTATTCCATTTCTTTCAGTGAACTCTACAAGCAGTACGCTTTCGTTCGATGTGAAGATGAGCGTGAACAGTTCCTCTATCATATATTATCTCTCAACGCTGCTCAATTTCGCTGCTTCACCAACACTTTCACCAAGACGAGTACGTTATTCGTTTGTAGAAAAGTATGGAGGCGAATGTACCCCTGAAAACGAAAATGATCCGTTTCTTTGGAGGTAGTTTCTTTGTCTGTCCAACTGTGTGCTAGGTAATAAGGGCTTGGGTTTCTTTATGGGATGAGGAAGCGAGAGGTTGTATTGACTTTCCTGGGACGAGGGAGACTGTAGGGGCAGGAAAGGATGGTACTAAGTGAAAATCACTGACTCTCGCTGTTTCTAGCGATGTTACCTGTGGCATTCTCTGAGGTTTTCACGTTTTGCGAAAAGTATATTCCATTGTTATTATAGAACATTTGCTTCAGAAATGGACTATCAGGTCGTGATAGTGACAGGTGGATGGAGAGGGTCACTGCCAGCAGTATGGGTCACAGTAAGTTCCTTATTTGACGACATTTCCTCAAATATATTGTTCCTCTTTATACCAAACTAGCGTTATTTCAGGTTGGAGGAAGTCTGTGCAGTAGTCCTCAAATCAACCTGCCGGCTAACACCCCGCTGTTTAAGTTTGATGTGAGAGATTTGAAATGTTTTTGCCTAGTTTCTTAATAGAACAATTCCTAGGAAAGTACATGAAATAAATAACCAAATCTGTTTCAGCACAAAAATCTCGGAGTCTTGTCTACCCTTCGGATAGGTCACGCACCCGGCTCTGAGAAACCTCCGAAATGGTACCTGGAGTGTGTAAGTAATCGAAATCGCTTCATAAATATATTTAGAATGCAGTATTCTTGAGAGTGCTAAAACTGTCGGTATATTGTTCTTTCCTTCATTTGTCTATCTGGGAAAGCTGTTGTAACAGCGAAAGCTGAGCAGTACAAGCTGGATGAATGAGCTCCTTAACCCTTCACGAAGAAGATCTTGAGATTGCTTGCATTCCTGTTTGTTGTCCTCTCAGCCAAGTTCCAGACACTTGAATTACCTGGAGTTAGGAAAGATCGAGCTGTTGCAGTCAGAGCAAAGTCGTATATGTTTAATCTTTGCATTTGGAACATTTTCTCGGTTTGTCGAGACTGCTCGAGCTCTTGTTTTGCATTTCCAGACTCTTTCACATTATAATCACTTATTCTCCAAGTACTTTATTGTTGTACCCTCGGCATCGTTGTTTATTCTGTTTAGCTTGTTATGCCACTCCAGGTTTTTAGGGGGAAATCTTTATTTTACGGCCTAAAGTTTACGTGGTCATCTTCTTCAGAGGCCTAAACGCGTTTCGAGGTTAGGAAATGAACAATACCTTACTAAGTAGTCATCGGCACTGCTAGGGTTGGTTGTTTAGGACCCTGAAGAAAGACGACCACGTCGAAACGTTAGGCCGTAAAATAAAGATTTACACCTAGAAAACCTCTAGAGGCATAGTAATCTAAACAGTATAATCACTTAATTATTTGAAAATAACGATTTTTTTACAAAGAGAAATGTGTTGTTCCATGCGCGAGTTACGAAAAGAAAGGTTATCACCAAAGTTTTAAGCCGTTTGGTACTTGAGTAGACACTTTCTTCTGTTATGTGGTGAGAAGCAAGTATTTCATACGATAAGGTTCTATTTCAGGTAATTGTACGCAACGAAATAACCGGACAGATGTACCGATTTCCATGTGGGCGATGGTTTGGGCAAGGTGTTGAGGACAACCGTTGGTTTGGTAACGGCTGCGACGTCAGCTTGGAAAGGTGAGTGATGCAACGCTACTACATTGGGATGTTGTTTTAGTAATGAACCACTTTTTCAAAGTGGATATTCGAGTAAATTTTTGAGAATTTGATGTGCGTGTTAGAGATGCGCACCTTCCACTTCACTGAGTAATATCTGTACCAGTAACACTAGGAGATGAACATTTTTCTTTGATTCCGCATTTCTTTGGCTGACGAAGTTTGCAGTGGTGGATACAGCTCTGGCATTCGGCGCGTTTGACGACTTGCATCGAGAGTTGCAGATCTGGGATAGTCGGGAAATTGGTCTGACCATGACGTCGTCCCATGGATTCACTAGCCAGACGGTCAGCTGTGGTTAAGGTCTAGACCTAGGCGTGTCCTCACCTGTTACGGTGAAGGACGGCATTGTTGTCCGTGTTCACGGTGAACAGTATTCTTCATCTGTCGCAGTCGAACTCTGCACGTTCGTATTTACAGTCAGGGCACCTCCTACGTTGTTGAGCAAAAGGAGTCGTATTTGGTCTGGGAAATTTTTTTGATAGTTGACTTTTCCTGTTTCACAGGCGCTATTCACATCGTTGGAAAAATTCCAAGTGGGGGGGAAGGTGTATAATATTTGCTCATCATCGGGGGGGGGAGGGAGAGACACTACACCCTCCTAGAAATATAGAAATATTTTACAACTCAGAAATATTATACAACTACTATCTTCGATTGCTTTCGGAAGCGAGCAAAGGACGAAATAGGAGAGAGAGAGAGAGAGATCGTATATCGAAAATTTTCCGTGGCGGCAGGACGTGCCCTGTCTACAGTACTGGTTCTTCCCCCACTTTGCCGCGCCTTGATCACCAACACGATTCTAGGAGGCCAAGCTTTGTGACAAGCTGAAAAAGTTCACCAGCGTCTATTTCCTCTCCCTGAGAGAAACTCAAGAAGAACTCCACTGAAATTATTTTGTGATTCAAAGTGGCTTTTTCAAAGAAGAGAAGAGAAACACAGCTGATAATTGTGCGGTATCCTTTTCCGGAATAGTTCTTCTTGCATGGGGCAGATTATTGAAATACGCGAGTGAAATAAGGATGGTGTTAGTGCATGCGCTTGTAAAGCAGAATGCTTGTGGGCATCCACAACAAGTGCGCAGCATACAAGAAAGTGGTGGTTACATGGCATGGCAGAGCTGATGTTATCGCTTGAACTGATTGTTTTTAGGTTGCTAGTTGCGGAACCAGTATATGAGGAGGATTCTGGAGACTCAGCGTTCAGCACTGTGCCAAATTCCCCGGCCAGGAGTGCTAGGCGAGGACGAGTTTCTTCACGGAGTCAGACGCCGCAGCGCGAACGCAGTCCTTCACAAAGCCGTGGACATGATTCAACGCCTAATCGCAGTAATTCTTTCAATCCTTACTATTTAAGGTGCAGTAATTGTTTCTAGTAAGATGTGTCGAATTTCAGAGACGCGAATAACGGAAATACAGCAACTACTGGGAGAGGCTGTCAATTCCCTTGTGAAATACTTTTATAGTGAGAAACACTCAAAGAGCGAATTGGCGCACCTGTTGTGTGGCGAGCGTGGTTTAGTGAACGCTATAGAACAAGTGAGAGTTTTCAAAATTCATTTTATTTTTTCCCTCTAGTTACTTTTCCATATTTTATAGTCGTTAGTTTTTTTTTAAATCGAATAGTTAATATTCGGAAAGTGCTTCTCGCAGGCATTCCAATTCGGTCGACATGGGTCCGTTTGGTTGTTTCGCCAGCCTTCACCTTGGGATTATGTTGGTAAGTGCTATATTTTTTGTATACAACATGTAGTCAGGGTACAGCATCGTTCTGTGAAACACATAAGAGGGGGTCGTACTTTTTCGCTGGCGACGTCGTATGTGCGTTTGTGAGAAATTTGCTGTGTTGGGAAAATTTTTTTCCTTTGTTAACTTTCCGCATGATTTTGCCTGTTTCATGTGTACTATATACCCGTTCACCCCCTCCCCCTCCCCCCCCCCGCTCGACGGAAAATACTACCATTTCAAACATCACGATGCTCTGCCCCGTATGTAATTCGCGCAGGATATCACAATCTCCTCCCAATTTATGTTTATAAACAATCGCGACTAATGCACTTATGCTTCTTCCGAGCGCAGTGCATACCATGTTGTTATGCTCTGCGATATGACTCGTAGAGTGTGACTTTGCTCTTGCTGCTTTTTGGTCTGTGCTGTCCTTCAACGCTACCCTCTTTTCCAACATCTTATTCGTCTGTCTTGCAGCCTACTCATTTCTCTTCTCGTGTTCGTTCTCTGAAGACACACTGTACACTCTCCTCCGTGAATAATGGTTTTTGCCATATTTGAGGTGAATGGGCCAGCAGTGCCATTTTCTCCGGTCGAAGGTGCACAGGAACGGGACTGGAGGATAACGATACCCAATTGCTGTTTCTTTAGTTCACCCCCGCTGCCGCAGGGACAGCTGCGCGCCTGACCATAACCAAGCTCGTTACTTGTCTGTTCCCTCTCATTTCCTCAGCTCCTGCAGCGTAACGAAACTCAATGGTAGAGAAAGTGTTTCGTTACAGGAGCTTGGTATCGATGCATGTGCTGCACATTGGCGATGGCGAGGGCGGACTCCGAAGGAGGAGTCCGGGTGTCACTACCCTACAGCCGGTTCCCGTTCTTTTTTGACCGGAGAACATAGCACGCCACTGCAGCTGCGGCCGCACGAGCTAGTGGGACATTCGCTTAGCGTGTAAACTCTTGTGGGGTGCGTTGTGAGCCTCGAAACACCGCAGTCTTCTTTTGAAGTGACGTTTTACCAATATCAGTACTGTTCTTATACCTGTATCTGAAGGAAAAGCAAAAGCGCGATGTATGAAGACGCCTTCATGCGATAAGAGAATTGCATTTTAGGCCACGTGAGGAAATCAGTCTCAAATCCGTTCAAAGAACCGGGAAAGATTTGAAAGCAGATTTTGAAATTGAGAACGAAAACCTGATTAAGCCAACTGCGCGTAGCATGTTTTTATGGTGTGCGGCTCATTTTAATTACCATCATATTCGCATAGAATCACAGTTCAATTGGCGCACTCTTCCACTGTAATCAAATCTGCGATAGCGGTCGTGATTTCTGCTCCCATTTACACATCTCATTTCTTACTGTTCGGGAAATCTAATTTCAGTTCTCAATATAATGTGTTTTATTCGCAGTTGCTTTGTTGGCAATGCACGTTGAGCATCAAACGATGTGTCTTTTCTTTCCACCTGGTTGGCTAACATGTACTGTAGCGCGCGCTATACAGTAGCCCTTAGTGAATCGGAATAGCTTTTAGAGTTCTCAATCCCACGGCTACTGCTGAAGACTCTCCTTTCGTGTTTTTTCTTCTCTGAATTAGCTCAGAAACCTACTTCTCGATCTGAGCAACCCTTCAGGGTAACCCCGGAGCATCCTACTGCACACAATTCTTACCTTCTGCATGCACCCTCCGCATACAGTAAGATGCCTTAAATGCTGCGCACAAATCTTGCTGATAAAGGGTACTTACTTACATTATAAGAGCTAAAGTGATTTGCTATTGTTCATGATATTTCTGTAAACATCGTCCATGTGTCTGAAATCACTTCAGCATGCGGATGAAGAGATAAAGTCTTCGCCGTTTATCAATCCCTTTGTGGGATGCGGCACGCATTCTACTTCCATTCAGAATCGTAGTGGCTTATTGAATGCGATGTGGCCTATGACTTGCGGGGGCCAGCCGATGTACAAGTCAGTGTTTTTATCCTCCCAGACGAATCTGGTACCAGTTTGCCGTTTCCTGGAGTAGTAGGCTTGGTTGGCCTGGGCGGGAGCCAATCCAGGATATGATTCTTGGTCCACCCGGCCGTTTTGCACTACACCGTCTCAGTCTCGGCATGCGGATATGATGTTACTTCTTGTTAAGGAATGAATGAGAATGAGCTGTTCTTCATGTGCTGAGAACAGCATCGGTTGTGTGGAGTTCGTGAGCGGTGCTGTGAATTTCTCATGTAAATTCATCGCTCCCACCTTTTATCTGTTGTTACCACATCCTGATATGAACCTGTTCTTTATCCACCCCTTGGCATTAATAAGAACTAACGCGATCATTGTTGTGATCTGCTCTGTGAGTTTTGTGACTCTACCCGTTAGAAGCCCCTTACATAATTTTTTCAGTTGTCATCACTTCCTGCCACCCACCTATGATGTTCCTGTCCAACCCCTTATAACACTTCTTGCAACCAAGCCCGAATGTTGCTGTGAACCGCGCTATAAACTTAATTTCATACGCTCCTTATCCAACTTTATCCCCTGTCGTCACATTCTATCACCCAGCACTGATGTTCGCGCCCCACACCTACACTCCTTCTTGGAAGCAAAGTCCCATTATTACTGTGACGCGCGCTGTAAATTTCGTGACAAAACAAACAGGTACCTACTTGAAGGATCGCAAATAATAAGACGGCCTATAGGGCTGTTCTTATATTAGAAATTATTGTATTCGATTAACTGCAGTACTTTTCCAGAGAAGGTGTGTGTATTTCTGATGGACCTGTTGCGACGTCGTGATGCCACTTGGACTCGTGAACAACGCGAACTCATTGCGCATGCGTTGAGGCTCGTGCGACGTATTTCGGATCGCGGCGCTCTTGGAAAGGACGCAAAATTCCACGTTTTCGTTCTTCTCACTATAAGGTACCTTCTTCTTTCAAGTATTGACTTCCGGAAGTTTATTATGCTTCCCTGGATCTTGTTCCGAAATACAAGCTGATAGTGATTAAGAAACTGAATTTACATGCAAGAATTTATGTAACTACGAGAATTTCAGTACCAAATACCTATAGAGCCTCTCACCAAGAATGGTTCACATTCATCTGCTTACGTTCCGGCTTACTCGCCTGACTCAAAGCTTGAAAATTTTTGAGTAACTTGAGATTCGCCTATAAGTTCGAACACTGAAAACTCTTTCTCTAGGTAGAACCCAAAAGCTAGAATCGATAGATCGGAGCTCACCGCGATAGATTATCACGGCTTAAATTCTGTTGCGTAAAGTGAGGTCGACCGTTGATGTTCAAAGACGGTCTACGCGCTCAACGATTCGTTGGCGTGCTTCTCTGTTCGAGTGGTATGGCCCACAGTTTGTGAGACTGTTCCAGTCCCGCGGTTTCAGGAGATCGGAGGCGCTGCGGCCCTCATAAGTGGCAGTTCTGGCGCCTCCGTAGAGGTACCGCCCACCAAAAAGTTAAGCTATTTTTAGACACATGTTTAGTTTTTACACCATGTTTCCGTTTTTTCCTCTGTTAGGTGGTATTAGCGTTGGTTAACGTGGTAAAACGATTCGTGAGTCAGAGGCGGCAGGATATCGCTTTGTTGGCACAAAACTAGTAGGTCCAGAGATGTTACAGCGAGGCTACCAAAGGTTCTTATTCGTGGTTCTCCCCATGATTTTCTTGCTTTTCCTTCCGTTCAAGGTCACTTAGCGACTACAGCTTCATAGATGAACATCACTACCTACAATGTGCAATCGTGGGGTTCGTCATGAACTAGGTGGAGGAAGCAGCGGTTTTGGAAAAACTCTGAAAAAGAAAACCCAGTTTTCTGTAACTTTTTTTCGGGTGGGCGTTCGCTGCGCCTCGCACTCTTAGACGATTAGCTGGCCTAGTTCTGATAGAACCTTAACATTCTCGGCACTTTTTGTGCATACCATAACATTGGAATGCCTGTTGTCGTAAATTGGAGGCGCACAAGTAGGTTGGCAATAATGGACAGTATAACTTGCGGTAACGTGCTCATTTGTACGAATGCTACACCTGTCTAACTGAAAATGGAGCTATTTTTCTCAGAGCAGCAAGTGAATCACTGTGTATTTCCCATATATTCCTTGTGATATTGACCTTGAAACTCTTGAATTAAAACTCTTGCGGAAATCCTTGCATTTGAACTCGTTCATTTTTGAACCCCATTCTTTTTTTCATATGAGACGCTCTTCACCATTTCAATAGGTGAACTCTTTCGAGATTTTTTTGTCTGTTAAACAGCTCTAATTCTTGTAATGTTGCAGAGACCACATGTTGTCCGGGTTCCTGCAACTAATGGCATGGACGCCAGTGACAGCTCAACTGTACGACGAGCCGTCTTTTCTGAGAACTTCTGTTCATTTGACGTATTTGTCAAGACTACTAGACTCATTAAATGAGTTCAACTTCGCTCTTGACCCTTCTCTCACATACGGTGTTGTGTAAAGGTGGTAAATCCATAAGATATAATCGTAGTGCTGACATGCTACCATTAACCGCTAGCGTTCACGTACCTCATTTTCTCTGTTAAGTGCTGGGCGATTGAGGACTTCATTAGTACATGCAGGCAGTGATCAGATAGTTTTAAGAATTGCCACTCTCACTTAATCATTTTCTGACGTGATTCGTTTGATAACTGCTGCTTAATGCCGCAGTACGCAATTCGAAAGCTATATAGGTCAGATGTCGGCTAACCGGCTCATCACGTTGAACGTGTGAGTGCTGTAAGGCTATGGCACAAATAGCCATTGAGCTGAGTGGTCAAAAGTGGCCTCGGTAGCGTAATAGGGAACGCAACTGCCCGGTAAGCAGAAGATGCGGGTTCGAATCCCGTCCGTGGTCCGACTTTTGCCCATAAAACAGCATTTTCTGACGGTCGGTCGGCTGATTAAGATATCGTGGAGGTGCTGAATCGCAGGCGAAAAATGAGCACTTGTTGTCACAGAAACAGTGTTAATCGCATTACATAATGGAGTCTTTAGTCAGGCACCCATTGCATCAGTTTTCAAGTGTCTTCGCTTGCTTATTCCGATATTTATGAATACTGTTGCTTCTTTAGTTCCTGTAAGTGACTGAAAGTGTAAAGAAACTTTGGGGCAGTTAGGCGACGGGAGGGGCATTTTGCTCTTCCGCTGCTTCACTAGTTCCGGTTTACAAGTGTCGCTCAGGTGAAACCTGTGAACTCTTCCACTATTCGTCTCCACCAAGGCACGTCATGTCATTGGGGAAAGTTTCGCTAGTACGACCACCCCCCCCCCCGCCCTTCCCATCCTATCTACATCTTGCTATCTTTCCGACTTTTCTCAAGTTCCTATTTTCCAAATATTCCAAAATCTCCAGTTTACCCCTGAAATCTCGCCGTGGAGGGGGAAGAGGTGGGATATACTGCTCATATAAAATGGAAAATAAACCGCACTCTTCTCAATGCAACGTGATAATGCGACCTACTCCCTACGACCGAATACGACCCCCTCCCCGGTTGGAATTCCCCAATGCATGAAGTGCCCCTATTTCCTTTTTGATGGCTCTACAAGTCGATGCTAAGCAGCAAAAGTGCAGGAGCTCCCAAGCCCCCGTTCCCCCCCCCCGTCGCCAAACGGCGTCAAAAATTTCAATGCAGTTGTGTTGTTCCAACTTGTTATCTTCTCCGACAGCTTTCATTTCAAGCATAATCCATACTTTCATCCATGTCAGATTGATTGTTTTCCTTCAATATTGCGGTCAGCTACTAAAAGGACCAGTTATATGAACATAATCTCTGACGGTTTTCCCGGTTAAATTTGAAGCGTAACAGTCTCCTAGTCTCCTTGCTCCCGCTATGAAGCACAATTTTTTATGTACCGTCATCATGGTCCAATTTGCCTGTGTGAACCTCATTTTTACCATAACAAAACTCAGGGTTTATTATGCTCTCACATCGAACGTCGACATGATCAAGTGTTTGGTTCCCATTGTTAGACTACCTAGTTTTTATCAGTTACACGTAATCTCTTTATTATGTGGTGCGTTTTGTGTTCTTCTTTGACAGATTGCTTTTCTCAGTGCATTTTCATATGTACAAAATAGGTTTTGTATTCTAGAGATATATTTGACTATCGATCACGAGCCAAAAAGAGGTATATTGTTGGTTTCCGCTCAATCATTGTTTTGACAGCATCATGGTAGCTTCAGTTTGTACTGTAGTTTGGCAATAATAATCCGAGTGTTGTTCGGTTCTCTCTTTCCTACCATTTATCTTCGTGATTGCTGTTCTTTTAAGGGTGCCTTTGTGCGCGATAAACATATAGTACAGGTCTTTCAAAAACTATCTGTGGAGGTCGATAACCGTCTTTTTCCTTAAATGAAAGATTTGAATTTCTATACTGTTTCGCTATAGATGGATGAGGTTGTCATATGGAAGCGTGCTTTATCGGCCTTCTTCTATGGAATAACTTCTATCTTAGTTGTGTTCGTCAACAAAATATTGTTAACAAATTACAGGTACGTAATTTTATTATAGTCTAGTTCACTGCGGATGAAGGGGCGTGTCCGGTGGGATGAGTTCGGCGCGGGGTAGGATGAGTTCGGCGCGGTGCCGAACTCGTTCTACACCAGTTGCTGAAGCGAGCAAGTGACAAGACTGTATCATATCGTTTCTGTCACTCGTTTTCTACCAGTTTTGTCGCACATCCCCTTCAACAACTGCAGAGTACGGCTTTGGCGCCGTGGCACACTCATACGTCTGACGCGGCGCTTCAGCCACAGCGAATTAGAGATTACATTTTACAGAATTCACTCGCGTCTAATTCATTCATGACATTTTTCTACTTAGGTTTCCGTCGTTCCTTTTCGTTGGGTTTGGTCAAATGATCGCCACTGTTGTAGTATTATTCCTGGCTCGTCTTCTAGGAATTGTCTCGTTTCCGGCTTTCGATTATTCTATACCGCGTAAAATTATGCCCCTACCGGTACTTTTCGTTGTTAATCTCGTATCGGGGCTCGGCGGAACAAAATTAATCAAGTGAGTGGTGTGAATTTCTTCATTACTTTCTCTCTAATTTCTAGTATAATAAGAGCATGTACAGATTGGCTTGCACTGAGTTCATTCGTGCATTCCAGAGGATCTTGCAGTGCTAGAACTCTTTCTATTACCTTGATCGAATAGTCTTGCGACGTTGCTCGAAATTTCAAACTAAAGTCCTCTTAGAAAGGAGGTCTTTCAGGTCGTGGCGCGCTTTTCAGAAATGGTTTGTTGCATGTTGTAGGGGTCCATATAAGGATCACAAAAATGGGTTTCGTTTTGCTATGCGCTTCTGGGGAGGTCAAAAAATGGGTGAAAAGTTTGCTGGGGAAAAGCGATTTTGAACCATTTTTCTAGGCTTTTTTTTTCTATCTCTAATGTTGAGTATGCACAGCAAATGAGACCTTCGTCGACACTGCATCGAAAACAATACAAGTCAAGGTGAAAAAAGTACTTTATTTGGCACACAGTGAGGCAGCATTGTAGTTTCTCAAGTGATTCTCGCAGCATCCCAACCCGCAGTTAGGGGGGGGGGTATTCAGAGCCATGTTGGCGCCAAATGACCTAGGCGCCAGTTATAAAGGTCAGAACCGTGATCAGGGCCGTCAATAACCTCTATATACAGACTTTCAGCGAAAATTTTCTCCTCGAGCTGAGCGCTTAACAGCCCATGCGTGCGGGTTGACAACAATTCAGTGCAAGAATGCTCTTGCAGCAAATCGGCGATAGGCTGCGCCGTGGTCAAAAATGAGTGTCGTACTCGTGAGTAGGGTATCCAGCATCCCCGGAGCCCAACTTTCAGCAAGAGTTTCCTCAGTAATGTTTCGAGAGCGCAATAGTTAAGTAGGGTCGACTCGTGAAGTTTGAGTGTACAGAATGAGCTCTTAAATGGCATATATCCATGTTATATACATCACCACGCACGCAGGAACACAAGGAGACAGAAATCCGAAAAAAAATAAAGCCGAAAAAAAAAATCTGGCGTTAAGAGGACCCGATCCGCAATCCTTCTCCGTAAGAATCGACCGCACTATCCACTCCGCCATCCGCCGACCACGCAACGCTGGTTGCGGGAGTCATTGAAGTAACTTCGGTACTACATTTCTCCGCCTTCGGTACTTTTCTTTTTGACTTTATTTTGCTCTCTTTTCGATACATAGTGAAGGAACACCTCATAAACTAAGCACTCTCAAAGTTACAGCTACAACAGAGCCCAATAAGACGGTTAAAATCGCCCTTTCTTGTCAAATTGTTTTCACTCAGTTTTTGACCTCCCCAGAAACGCATAGCAAAAATGAAACCCATTTTTGTAATCCTTGTATGGACCCCTACAACAAGCAACAAACCATTTTTAAAAAGCGCGCCACGACCTGAAAGGACCTCCCTTGTTAGCTGAGGGGGTTTTGCAGTCTGCCGGTTATTTACTTTGGTAAGTGGGACAGGTACCATTTTCGGGAGCAGTTCTTGATTCCACTCCTTCAGAACATCGGCGATTGCGAGGAAATTGTCGATCTCGTTCGCCGGTAGACATCGATAATTGAATATTTTTTTCGTTCTCTGGGAACACATTAAAGATCCACTAGTTGGTAGTCGAAGTTCCCAATTGTAAATCATGTGAGTGAGCAGAGAGTAGCTATACTTCTTAGCCGAAGTTCACACTTTTTCCATAATTCGCTTGAGTTTCATGCGATTTGAGCATGTTACAAGGCCAAATGGAGCTGAAGGATTAAAGCTTTCAGAACTGTTTCGAGCCGACATCGTCCTTATTCGTATCATCGCGGTAGAGGTAGACCACCACTGATGTGAAACCTCACGTAACACAGTCAAGCCTCCACGTTGTCCTTTGTTATATCGTCGGCATGATGTCCAATGTTTAATTACTTCTGCCAAACGACCTTTTTAATATCAAACCTTTTACTGGCCTATGTTTCGATCTTCTCGTCTTCTACCGAGGCCTGGAAATGGCCCTAAGGCCGCGTTCATAGCTTGCGACCATGAAGAAATGCAGAAATGAAGAAATGCGGAATCTGCGGAAATGACGAAAAGCATTATATACATATCGATTTGAAGAAATGCAGAAATGCAGAAGTGCGGAAAGTGCAGAAATGACGAAAAGCATTACATACGTATCGATTTGAAGAAATGCAGAAAATGCCGAAACTGCAGAAGTGCGGATTCCGCATTTTCCGCACTTCTGCAGTTTCGGCATTTCTGCATTTCTTCATGATCGCAAGCTGTGAACGTGGCCTAAGAGAGTCACGTGCGCTACGACAATTTCAACTGATGGGCACGATGAGACTCAAGTAAGACTCATCCATCCTAAATAGTCTTACTGAGACTCAGCGTGCGTCAGACGTTGCAGTGTGGGACCTTCGCTGAGTTGTTTGCAGTTAGAGTCTGAGCTGTTAGTGGCAGTTTCTTTAGGAGCGTTCAGGAGACGACATCGGCAAGGCTAGGGTGGGGAAGGCGTGTGGTCGGGGATGCTGTATCAAATCACAGCTTCGAGCCATTTTCAGGCTCCTGAAGGAGGCGAGAAGTTCAAAACTTTGGGCCAACAAAATATTTCATCTAACAATCTCCTTCGGTGGAAGTAATTAAATGATTGTCAGTAAAACGTTCTTTACATCTTGGCTTCGCAGGCGACTTTCTCCTCGAAATGCCCGTTGACGTTATGCGCATGTTGTACTTAAAGAATTCAGCTCTCTTTATCAACTACAACATCTGACAAAAGGTCCTACCATTGAGGATGAACTGAGGATGAATAGCAAAAAACTCATCCGCGACCTCTCGTCTCGCCTTGTAAGAGAGATCAGATTGAACCTAGATCGAGACCAAAGACTTATAGAACCATGACCGAGACTGTGGAGGAGCGCGATAGTTGCTATATGGTTGCAGTCGCAAATGTTGCCAAATACTGGTCGTTACGTTCGGCTGCATCCCTAGGTTGTTGAGCGGAAAGTTATCATTCCTTTTGGTGACTGTTCGTTTAAAATATCCGCACCTTCTAAGCGCAAGCGCAAGCACATTTAAACATTTTGTTAGGAGTGCTGCAAACGTCCTGATCAACCAGTGGAACCTGCTTGCGTATGACTCGTCCGTGGAACTTTCTAGCCGCTTTCGGTTAACACAAGTGCTCCAGGTTTTCATGAGCGGTCGGAGATTAAGAATGGTCTCACGACGTTGGGGTAGTCACAAAGAACTCACCTCCTCTCATAGAACGAATATGCGAATGAACTTACACTGGTTTTTCCATATGCTTCGCTATCTCTGTGGCACAGATTGTGATGTACACCGTGGGCCAAGTGCTCTGGATCAGTGATCGCATTTTTCTGTTGGTAATATAGCTAATTTTTATAGTTTGCCTATGTTCACGGTACTCCGGCGGTTTTCAATATTGATGACGATGGTTTTGGAGTATTACATATTGAAGTAAGCCAATCATTTGCGTGTAATTATAATCTTTGATGTATTACTATATCGCATGTAATCTTGCTAAGCTTGCAAAATATCAGGTGATGACTTTTTCCAGTTTCTTTCTGAAGACGTAAAAATTTTCTTCTAGTGTGAAAGCGACACGAGCCGTTCGTATTTCGGTCTGCATGATGATTGCCGGATCTATTATCGCAGCACTATTCGACCTTACCTTCGACCTCTGGGGGTACACATTCATAGGACTAAATGATATCTGCACAGCTGCTCTTGGTGTATACACTAAACAGAAACTTGAAGCAAAAGTCAGTTCTTATACAGGTTTTTAGTTGTTGGTTCCGTCGTTGTTTGTTGCCGTATGCGTTTCTAAATTCTTATTTTGAGGAGCTCGGAAAGTATGGTCTGATGTTCTACAATTCTTTATTCATGTTGGTTCCAACATTCATGCTGATCTGCTATACCGGTGATACAAATCGGGTAACGATTTGCATGCATATAAAAAAGACTCACCCTCTTTTCGCTCACAGCGAAAATATGTTAGCTCGAAGTGGTAGTTTGAAATGAAAAGTAACGAATCCAACTTTCAAACGTGGTAAAGATGTGAAATTGGGGAGCATTTTCTCGAAAGGTATCACTCACGCTCAAAATGAACGTAAACTGTAGCCCATGTAGAGGGAAAATCAAATGTGAGTTTTCTCATTTGTAGACTTTTTTCAGGAAAGCTTTTTGTTCTGGAAACACGTTTTGATGATTGGAAAGCTCAAACCCTTTTTGAGAACTGGAAAACTCAAACCCTCCGAAAAAAATTTTCTGAATGAGCAAAATCACCTTGGAAAACTCAGCCGTAGTAACCCTTTTGGTATGTACTCATGTGATGACCACCTTTTTCGTTGTCTTGATCAAAATCTTAATTTATTGATTTGATGTGGGGCGCGTGCGGAACGGAAACTGGACTACTTCTTTGAACTGCTCCACCGTAATAAAATGAGAAATCATAATATACCACCAGAAATAGAATTATCAGAAATATAACCTTGAACCATATAAAATTTGAGGCTTGATTACAGAAAATTTCAAAACAGTGTGCTGCTACATTATTGCACTACTATCAGTACATAACTGAGATTTGTGCTCAGGAACTGCTAGGTATCGGCTCCGTTTTTACGAAAGACAGGCTGCAAGTGCTCTCCCACTTTCTCCCCGTTTGGTACATTTGTCGGGTACCGATTTTACCAAGCGCTTTCCCAAAAATGATTTCCGTTCCACGACCTTCCGCACGCGGGCAGACCACAGCAATGTCAGTCCCCTTTCCCAGAGTTATCCTATCGACAATCCGCCGATCTAGGTCGGCTATTGGCGTTATTCCGGAATGACTCAACCAAACAAAGCATTTGCGTCACCACGGAGTCTCCGTTCATGATCTATACCATGCGTAGACACAACTGTCGGCAGGAGTTGGCAATCGGCTGGCGACTTGATCCTACTCCTACCACGAATGGTTCCATTTCGGATTCGTCCGAGCCGTGTGTGTCCCAAGCTCCATCGCAGCATCTCCATGACACCATAGGCTCTTGTTTCCACGGCCGTCATCTGCTTGGTCTCCGCTCCATAGGTGGCGACTGGTCTTACGACTGAAGTGTAGATCTTGGACTTCAGGTGAATTGGCATTCTCTTATCGCAGAGAATGCCAGTGACAGTCCTCCACTTGTTCCATGCCGCGTTTATTCTTGATATTGTATCGGCCTTGGCATCTCCATCCGCCGCTAGCGTAGACCCGAGGTAAGGGAACTTTGTAGCCATGGTCAGAGGCGTGCCGTCAATCACAATTGGAGAGGTAACTGTGACAGGGAAGTAAAGATACTGCATGTACTCGGTTTTGTTGATGTTCAGATTGAGTCCATAAGCAGCGAGTTCCTTCTTCCATCGGTTGGCGCGCCTTTCCAACTTGTTCTTGGACCGATCCATCAGCAGCACGTCATCAGCATATCCTAGCGTCAAAGGTGGCTCTTTCCTAATCTTCCTTGTCGCATAGTCCAAACATAGAATGAACAGCAGCGGCGAAAGATCCTTGGTGTACACCTACGGTAACCGGGAATTGTGGAGTGTCTCCTACAGGCGTCCGGATACATGTTCTAGAATGGTGGTAAGTCAGCCGACAGCATTTACCATCACTTCTGGTACTTGCTGATATCGAAGGCTTCCCAAATTAGTTGACGGGGCACCCGGTCGTAGGCTTTGTCACAATCTAAGAAAGCCAGGTGAAGTGGCTTATTCCACTCGGGCCTTCTCCATCTATCATGCGACGAGGTGGATAGCGTCGGTGGTACTGTGCTCTGGTCGGAATCCGCACTGCATCTCACTGATATCCACTATTTTCCTGAGTCTGGCTTCCAGCACTCGTTCGAATATCTTCAGAGTATGGCACATCAGACGAATAGGCGATAGTTGGAGCAGTGGGCGATGTCTCCTTTCTTCTTGTATATTGGCACCGTGACACTTTTCATCCAGTCTGTTGGGATTTCCCTTCCTCTATACACTTATTGAAGAGCTGTATGAGATATGAGCGCCCTCCAAAATGCCTCGAGACTTCCGCAGGAATGCGGTACAGTAGCTGCCTGGTACAGTAGCTTTCCCGTTTCTCATCTTTATGATGACCAGTTCGACTCGTCCTCGGTGTTTCGAGGGATGGATCTTTGGATTAGTGGTTCACTGACGAGCGCCTCATGTGGGAATTCCACGTTGCAGCTGGCGAAAGATGGGGCGTGTGTAAAGGGTAGTTACCTTTCTAAAGTTCTGAACTGTTTGTAGTAGCTGTGATTTCTTTGAAGTGAATGTTTGAAGTTTTTCTCTGAAGTTTGTTCACTCACCTCCATGAATCTTTCTCCTTGCCATACGCGACGTGGTCCGCAACTGCAGCAGCGTGTCTTTTTCTCTGGTCAAAAGTGCACGGGAACGGGCTGGAAGGTAGCGATACCCGGGTGCCGTCTCCCGACTTCGCCCGCTATCATCGCGGTCAAGTAACACACCGTCCCCGTTGTGATTTACAGAACGAGGACTTACTTACTGGCCATGTGATAGCGCGGGGTCATTAGCGCAGAGCTCATCCAGAAGAGGTAGAGCAGCAATACTGAGATGTCGTACATCACTGATTGATAAAAGACTTCTTCATGGTTCTTGCTGTAGAGAGCACTCGAAGAGACACCTGATGACCAAGGGAATCTGCAAGCTTAAAAGTAGGGAACAGTCGGTGACAAGGAATGACGATGACGTCGTGGTTGGTAAATAAACAAAGTACAGTATACCTCGGACATTTCTGAACCGTAGCAGCACATATGCTTGCACGGAAGAACCTTGTCTAGAAGTTACACCTTTCCAACACCTCTGTCTGCGTGGGAGTCCGATGCACGGTGCAATGCAGAGGGATGTCAGTCGGCGCCGGATAAACTATTTCCTTATAATTTCGACGGGAAGATGTTTCTATAAGCTTGCCCAAGCCTTCGAACAAACCCGAAATGATACCGCGCCGGGGTACTGGATTTCTCGAGCTCGTCCAAAACTTGTCGCAGCAGCATCAGAGACTTTTTAAATAGTGAGCATGAGGAAAAAGTGAGGCCCTTTCTAGAAAGGGGAAGTCGTCTGGATTCCGGCACTGTACTTCTTCTCTCAAGAGATCTCAAGTGAAGAAAGTTATGGCTGTCCAAAGCAGGAAAACTCGTAGGTGACACTAAAATGCCACAACGCCGTCACAACGGGGAAAGTTCGAGAGGAGAAGTTTGAATGCGCTTGAGCACAGTCAGTAAAGTACAAATCTGGAGCTTCACAACCCTGCTTTCTTCCTTTCAGAGGCTTCCATTTCAGACAAGTTATGCATCTTTGAAAAAAAAGTACTCCGGAATTGCTGGCTCATTTTAAACACACATCGCGAAATACTTCGCTTCCGTGCAACAAAGTTTCAGAAGTTCGTGGGCAACCTCTGAATGTGAGCGGATATTTGGAAATTCATGGATCTTATCAGATATCATGAACTTTTTTGCCTTTTTTTTTGAAGGGGGGGGGGGGAAGGGGGAAGAGGGGTCGTGGCGAGTCCCGCTTTCGGGGCGAAGGCGTATTCCGAACGCTCCATTTTCTGCACCCTCTCACTTCTGGTTCGTTCCTAGTCCTGATTGCATACTCGCTTCAAAATTTTAGTGTCGGCACAAGGGTACACGGGCGGGGTGAGGAGTCGGCACTCATATATTACTACACTCGAGGTTCGTTCCCGCGCATCAGCAACTATTCGCTCTGCATGTTCACTTTCGGTGTTATGTACACGACATGATCAACGAAGCGAAGATTTTTTGATGGCCGGCCTTTGGCTTCACCCTCTCTCCTCATTCCTGAGCAAAGTGGTTCCCTTGTCGAACTCTTGTTTCATGACGATGCGATCTTATAGTAGAATAGTGAAATCCTGGCTCTCAAATTGATACAGGGCTCATGAACACTTTCTCTAGTTCTGAAGAATTTTCATGTACTGAGTATAGACACCCTGGTGGCCGAGGGCCGCAGCGGAGTCAATGCCTTCTTCAGTTCGATGAACGTGGGACAAAACGGCATCTTGTACTCTCGCGATACTTCGACTGGCTTAGCTTCCGTGGTGATGTGATCGCTTACGCTGAATCCAATGCGGTATCCTGCTTGCCTGCATAGCTGTTCTTCCTCTAGATTTCTGTCGATCCTTTTCCGGGTGACTCCTGTGAAGGATTAAAAAATTACATTAGACGGGTTGGGCGTTAAATGTCAGTGTCGTGCAAGTATCCTTTCTTGTACAGTAGCACAATCTTGCTGGGTTTTTACGATTTAGACATATTGCTTGCATCCAGATAGGTAGCGCGTGAAGTGCCAGAGTACTGACGACAACTGATGGGAGATTACTCATGCGTTTGAGCCTGATTCTGGCAGGACTAGCCGCTATACTGTTTACTGATGACAGGGCGAGTTGGTTCTTGGCCGGGAGCACTAAAGGAACGACGTACCCATCCTGCTTCAAGCGGTACCATGGTAGGTGAATATGGCAGAAGTCATACATGACTATCTCCTTCCCCTTCTAGGATGCATTGATTGATCCGTCTCGACGCTGGTGGTTGATGATCTTCTTCCTTTCCCTCGATCAGTACTGCTGTTTTTTCTCCAAGTCTTCTTTTCGCTTCGTTGCACAGCTTTGCAATGATATCTATAAACAGGGTAAATAAATGGTATTTATCACGAATATGTAGTTTCCCTTCAACGGTGTAACTGTTTCTATTAGACTCTATAACTATTACTTTTAGACTAAATGGGGAATCAATCCGTTTTGAACAACTTGCTCTCTCACTAGGAGATCATAGAGTATCAAAAAAGCGAATTGGAATGGTATGTCTTGTTGCCATTTAAGGCGTGAGTGGGCGCCCGCTGAAGGAAAAACGCGCAAATTTGTTTGTAGCATCGTCCGGCAGATGCGGAAGAGTTGTAGTCATTTAGTTGTTGTAGCTGCAGCCGTAGAACTGTAGACTATTGGAAGAATGAAGTCATCCGAATCCGACAACGTT